GAAATTCTCATGTGAAATATAAACTGTCAAATTGAAACTGAACTTGAATTACTTGTCAAACTTATACTCGTGAAATGTACGTTTCTTAGAGTTGCTTTTAGTAGTTTGTAAAATCTTGTGATAAAATCTGTCAAGAAATCTTGAAGATCTTTAAATTATATTATCTAATTTATACATTTTTATAGTTTCATTAATATTAATATTAATATTATTCCATTAATATTAAATTTTATTTATATATACGTATATTTAAAACATTTTGCATAAATATTACACGATAAAATCACGCATTTCTAAAATCTTTTTCTTCCAACATCTAAATTTTCCACAATACTCGAAAAAATTCACACAACTTGGAGCATATCGAGCCACCCTTTCTTCGTCTCTCTTTTTATTCTCCTCGTATCGACTGGCATAATTCACGGTAAACAAACGGTTTCCTCGCGCTTGTCACGCGAGGAAAGCGCCATTGTATGTCCTCCTCAACTTTCATGTTCTTTTTCAATCGACAAAAGAAAAAAAAACCCTCTCTTTCTCATACTCGTTCACCCTTGGAATTGAAAGCTTCTCAGCCGGTAAATAACTAGAAAGCACGTTAATTTCAACCCTTGTAGACTGGTTCTGGTCATTAAACGAGGTGATGCGCGACATACAAGCATTTTTTGCCACTGGTACAAACTTTACTGACTTTTTTGCACTTTGTTCATTCCCTCTTTCCACCCCATCTCTTTATACCATTGTAATTCGTCGTTGTTTCCGATTTCTGTCTACTTTCTCCCTTGATTCATCTTATTTTTGCTCTCTTATATTCTTTTTTTTATTGTTGTTTTCTGATATCTTGATTTATCTTTCTTTTTTTTTTCCTATTTTTATAATTTTCGAATTTTGCTACAGAGCAGGTATAAGGGGTTGGATCTCATTGATGCAGAAGATTACTTTAAGTGAAATTTTCAAATTGTGTTTGCAATAGTAAATGAATGTTGATATTATAGATAAAGCATTGAGAATCTTAATATATGAAAATTTAAATTTAAATTCAAAATTATATTTGTGAATTTGAAATTAAAATTAAAAGGTATTAATTAATTTTTTTTAGAATTTTTGATATCTAATATGTCGAAGAATTTTAAAATTAAAATTAAAAAAATTTTGAAAATATTTAATATTTAAAATTAAAAATATCTTTTATAAAATCAGATAATATCTTTTCTATTAATTTAACCTGCTGCTATGCCTAGTCTCTGCTGGAAAACAGTCGTATGATATGCAGAAATTTATATATTTTATTAAATTATCTGCACGAGTACACATAAACATATATATGTCAAATAACTTCGTTTATTAAATTTTATTCATAAGAGAGAGATTCTCTCTTTCTCGAAAATTATACGTCGCAAAATACATTATATTATATACATACATATTACACATTACTTTACATTTTAAAATTAATTTTGTTTAATAATGTATGTCAGATAATTTTAAATAAAAACAGAATATAGCAGACAAACCTGACATTGTACCGTTATGATATATAATTCAAAAATTTTAAATTTATGTTTCAAATCTATTACCTACAATATTTTTCAATTATTATATAAACTAAATCCAAAAGAAACATCTTAAAATGAGAATATATAGACTGCTTGAATAATTTTTGAAAAAAATTTGTTTTATTATTAATTTTACTTATTACTTTTTCTTTCTGAACGGTGCACATATAAAAATACATTTAATCAAATCTCATTTAGATATTTCATCTTTTTTTAAAATATGAAAATTTATCAAGCAAGCGAAACTAACTCACAATGTATAGAATTATACAATTTTCTTCAGTTAGTCAACTCAATGTATTATTATATATCATAAGCAAAAAATTCTCTCTACATCTTATACCTGAAAATATTTTTATTCATAAAGTTAATAACAATCTGTTTTTTTCCATCTGTCGACGAAATTGATTAAAACAATTTTTCCAAAACGGTGATCGAGCCAATTATCAATTCATTCTCCTGATTAACGATAATTTCGTTAATTAGAGACGGACGTGGATGTAAGGATGGAATAATTAACACGGAACGAAACGATATCCGTCATGTTTGCGGAAAGCCAAACAGGATACGAAAAATAACGAATTACATTGTGCATCGCTGAATCCAATTTATACTTCTCTTTCGTGCAAACTCTCCTTCCTTTTTTGCATAGTATAACAGGTCATTGTTATCGTGTGTGCACTAATTAACAAGGAACCTTTTGTCCAATGTTCAAACAGTTTATTCTTTCGATCGATGAAAGATTATATATATATATTTCATAATCGAAAAGCAATGATGAATTTTTATAATATATTCGTTTTAATAATCCGCATATTTCGCTAGATGTCGCCACTGTATATATCTTTCAACGAGAACGAGTTTCTTCGTATCTAAATTCCATCTTGTTTGTTTTATTCAAATAGAGGCAAGAGGCCTGAATCACACGAGCCAGATCCGGAAGAGGCTTTCTTGTTGAAATTTTTACGAGCTCTGAGCATCAAGATTCACAGGAGGACAAACGTTTTTCGCGAGTGTCACGCGAAAAGCGCCATTCATCTCGAGCTTTGTTTTCAACCCTCGTATTCTCCTCGATGACAACTTCTGCCTCCTTCTCTGTCCGATTCGATGGCGCCATGAAAAATCCGTCACAGGGTACAGATTCTTCACCCAACCGATTTCATTTCTCATCGTTAACGTATCTCCATCTCTTGGTCGCTTATTATTGGAAGCACGCGAAATAAAACTTAGAAAAGTGGACTAGGTTGCTTTAAATTTCGTCAGAAAAGTTGCCAACTACTGATTAAGTTATTTTTTATAATTTGATCGACGACAAAAGAATTTTTAATTTTCATGAGACGAACGATTGTTTAATATAAATTATTAATTGCTCCTTCATAAGAATGAATATAAATTCATAAAAAAGAATTTGATTGAAAATGAAATTTTTATTACCTCTTTTTCTCATCCATTATTATCATAAGATCAAAGTTTCAAAAGGAGAATAATATACAAGTGGTGAATAAGATTGAATAATTTGTTCTTCTCTTGTTCCAAATTTTCCTTAAAATATAGAGATTATAAATAGATACGATGCGAAAGAAATTTTGAAGAAAAAATGAAAAACTTACTTGGCAACAAAATACAAATACAGGTCGCTGACGAAGAGAATCGTGAAATTCATCAGAATGATATTTCAGCATGATTCGCAAAACCGTAAGCGTTCTGAAGTATTGTTCGCGGGTGTTATTGATTTCCGGGTCGCAAAAACCGATTCGCTGGATACACAAATGGCGTCCAATCGAAGACAGAAGCCGGAATCGAGCAGTGATTGATGATGCATTGGCGCGAACAGAATCACCCTGGATAAATTCGAATTTTTCACGTCTCACGCACTAAGTGAACCATCCCCCTATTGTGAGAGCGTCGAATAAATTTTTATCAGGAAGATTTTTTGGTTATGAGAACGAAACTTGAAGAATGATTTTAAAACACTAACAGAAGTTTTCTCAGACAGATCTTTGCCATTGTTTACGTTTACTTTCTTCTTTCTCTTCCTTCTGTTCTCCTTCTCCCTTGTTTTTATTTTTCTTGTGTTTCCTTCTCGTTTCTTTTATTTTCCTGAATATTTAGTTAAATATAGTTCCTTTGATTTGTTTATTCTTCGCTTCCTTTCTAATTTCCATAATTTCATGATCATTTTCTTTGTTGTTTCGATCTTAGGATATTTTATTCTTTCACTCAAAAATTGTTTAAAATTAATTCGAAAGTAAGCAATGGTTTTCTGATTGAGTATCGTATAAATTAATTAATATAAGCATTGCACAAGCTCGTTTACAACTTTCATAATCGGATTGCTCTCTATGCATGGGAAGAAAACAATGTTTCATTCTAGAAACGAAAGAGCTAAGAATTAACGAATCCTCGTATTTTGAATTAAATAAAAATTTATTTATATTGTAGAATCATGATAAATATCCATATTCATTTAATTCGTCAATGAAAGAAAACAATTTTTCTCTACAATTCAACGAATCAACAGAAATATCCAATATACCATCCAGTATACCATCGAAATAGTAACCAATCCTATTTGTATTTATCGAAAGTTTATCAAGCGTAATTTCAATTGTCAGAATTCAATATTTACCAATGATCTAAAATAATCTTATCGATCATTTTCAATTATTATCGTTACATTACTTATTCCATAGCCGAGTGAAAATAGTTTCACATAAATATCTTTTTCCAACGTCTTTTTCCCGATCCCCATTACTTGGAAACTTGAAGACGGAACAGAAAGAAGAGGGCACGAAGTTGAATGTATTTTTGACGGTAGAATGACTGTTCCAAGGAAATTGACAGTTTCGGCCACGGTGGCCGCCAGTTCTGAATAGTTCTCTCTCGCGAAACCGCAGAACGTATACCGACACGGTTACGATCACTGCATCAGTTCTCTAGAAATGTACTTCCGGCACGTCCTTCCGGTTAATCGGACAGTTTCGGAATTCGTTCCAAATAGTTGTCGAAGAGTTTCGCGGGTCACGACTACCGGTGACCATACGGATTTTCCAAAATCGAAAATGGCGAGCACGAATGTGTTCGAGTACATTACGAATTTCGTTTCAACGATTATGATTCGTGATAATTCTCGAAGCTGGTGGACGATGGATTAACGATATACCAAATCAGTGTATTCAAATTTTCATGTGAAAAAAATCGAAGTCACTTTTTATTTTATCTCGATTTTTCAAAGTTTATAATGCATGAGATATGATGAAAATTTGGAAAATCGTCATTTTGTAAATTTTATAACTTCTATTATAAAATCTGATCGGTATCGCGTATGAAAATTGATTAATTGACAACTGATATATGATTTGTAATTATTGCATTTCAATCGCATCGCAAAATCCAATGAATCGCGATGAAACACGACGAGACATCGCTAAAAAGAACCAAAATTACAATTTTAAATATGCTGGTCCATCGATTGGAAAATCACTCGGCACGAAAAACAGCGTAAAATCGTGGAATTCGAGCTAGCGATGAAAGCGGTGGTTGCACAACTAAGCTCGATGGAAAACGATGCGCAAATATTCGCGCAAATCGATCAACGTGTCGTTTTTAATTGGCCAGGATTGGTATGTGCCTCCTCGTTTCCACATTACGTGGATCATCAATAAACCTCGATTTGAACGCGGCACTCTCATTTCTATAGCTGCATGCATTTGACGTCTGTCGCCATTTGGGTTTGGATGTTACCAGTCGATCTTGTTCCTTTCATTTCATGCACGATTTTCACTGAGAAATAATTATTTGAAATGACTTAGAATATAATTAGCTCGAAGATTTTTTTTTTTTAAATTATCGTTATTATATACAATTTTAATTATAATTTTGTAAGAAAGAGGAATTGAATATTATCTTTTAAAAATTGAATTTTAATATTGAAATTTGTTCTCTTTTCGTTGTAAACAATTTAAATATTTATACGATGTAATGTAATATATATATTATATTAGGACAAATAATAAACATATTATTTTCCTAAATTATTAATTTACATTATTTTGAATAACGAATAAATTCAACTCGGCATTAATTGTTATCAGAATCATTTTTCATTAAACTGTTCTTCCGAATCTATTTACTCGAAAGAAATTGCATTAATTATTATCGTGTATTATTCGACGATGAACAGCGTCGTGTTTTTATACGATAGATATTGCTGAAGGCTGTATTCATAAATGATTCAAGCAATTTTCATTTTGTTTTTATAATTGCCGCTGAATATTTTATCTGTCCTTCGTTGATGTTGTTACAAACCGTTGTTAAAGAAACGATATCCAACCGGTCTACTATCGATCATAATACGTTGAAAGATAAATTAACCGTGAAATAACTTGTTAAAAAATTACTGTCAATTATCGTTATACATTATTAATGACAATGAATGAATTATTACGGGGAAAATATTGCTTCCAATTAAAAAATTTTAATTGGACAATCAGTTTATAAATTTTATTGGTTGTTAATTCAAAAAATAGCAACTATTTTTATCATTATGTCGTTATTTATCCGCCTCGTTTAGGATTGCTCTACTTAAAGTTCTAAGTTAAATTCGTCCAATTTAAAAACTCTTTACTTCCGGTCGATTAATTTACGACTTTTCTCCAAGTATACCAAGAGCTTTTATTACATCCCACTATCTGTCTCTATTTCCTTCCAATCTACTTCCAACTGTATTACTTAGGATAATTCTTGTCGTTGGCTCCGTTTCAGACTGATTTAATCGCACACTCCTCGTTTAAGTTTGAATGGGCCATTCGTTTCACTCGAAAACATTCTATTTTGACCACTTTCGGATTTTTCTTGTTCGTAAGATCTTTATTTACGACCATTTCTCACTTATATTTTTTAGTTTAATTCATTGATTTTTACAAATATTCTATTTTCCTTCTATTCCTAGCAGTATATTTTTCCTTATTTCTTTATGTCATAAAATTTTTAAATTCTTTAGTAAAAATTTCATAGAAATTTCGTAAGCTATCTTTTCTTTAAATATTATGACTTTATTAATCTAACAATTCAATTGACTAGAATTATTAATTTTTTTTATTTACAATATTCTTCATATGTATTCAATTACTTCATATTTCCATTATATTATAGGAATACGTAAAAATATTGATTTCTTCCTTAAAGTAATTAATAATCGATACAATAATCGATATAATAATGCACAATTTCCTTCGTCAATTTTCCTTTACTCCATCTAACACTATTCACGATCACTCAACCATGACTGATCCACGCCCATCCCCCTTTCAAAATTCATCAGTCTCCTATATCTCTCCTTTCTATCGTTACTACACATTACCGCATAGAAAACCTTTAGAAAATTATTTGCACCTGGAAATAACCGGAATCTGGCGCCAGTAGCCGCATGCTATAATTTTTCAGCGTCAGATCAGACTCTGATTAGTCGACCAACAAAAAATGGACATACGAAACCGTTCGAAATTGGCGATCAAAGTTTTAATTTTTTGCCGCGTGAACGTGAAACAGTCTTGAATTGGAACGTTTCTAACGAGACGTGAGATCGTTTCTCGAATAATTATACCGGAAAAAACATATCTGCATACCTGTTCGAATGGCGGAAAATATAAGGCGTGTCGAGGTGAGACAAATATTCCAGCGAGCGATAATATGAAATTAATGTGTCCAAGTAGCTGCACACATTAACCGTTCTTTATGCTGATTTTATCTCTTATTTTATTTTAAATGAAACGAGACTTTTACGAAGATTAATTGATAATTGTAATCGATGTGATCAATATGAGCAATTTAATGTGAAATGATGAATTAGACGGATCGATTGATTTGATAATTGATTTGATAATGAATGAAAGAAATGAGATTCGAAAATTGTGTCCACGTGAATTTTTATATTCTTATTTCTTATTACGAATTTAAGATTAATTTGATATTTCTCCACACTTCTACTTTGTTCAAAAATTCACTTATTAAGTATACAACCCTCGAATAATTTTTCCATTCACATCAATTTCTACCATTCCCTACATCTTACTTTTCACTCAACCCCACTCACCCATCTCATTCTTCTAATTTTCATTCCCCACTTCATCACAGCCACCACTCCCTCCACATTTCTTCCAACTCATTTCAAAGCACGTAGGGCCACCAGTCCCCTAATTTTTAAGAAGAAAATTAGCTGCAACTTACGAACTCGCCTAATCTCACCATTCCACGTCTCCCTTACACTAATTCGTAGGCGTGCCACCTACCCTGAAACCTGTCGTAACTTACAAACAATTTTATCCCTCGTCCTATCGTGCATCTCTCCACCACTCTGATTCTCATACATACACATATGTATATGTATATTCATCCCTCTTCCACGATTGTACCCCTTCTCCCTCGTTCCAAGTTTTCTTTCTTCGCATGGAGAGAGGATGGAAACGAAATTGCCTGCAATTCATGACAACTTGCCGGGCTTCTTCTTATGGCCGTCTCATGCCGCGATACCGGAAACGAAGGTGGATATTTTTATATAGTCGCGAGGCTCGTTCCGCCCACGAAAATAAACGCGTTCATGGATCATTTCGGTGAGTGCATTTTTGGAAAATTTTAAGCTTTAATGCGCGTCGCTATCCAGTGATAAATGTTGCCTCCAAGTATGTTGGGGGGGGGGG